TATTATCATAGTAAATGGCATCAGTGATATTACAAATGTTAAAGGGGTCCTATTATGCTCTTTTACAAAGCCTTGATTTTGTTTTGGGGGTGTACTAGAACAGGCTCTCATACTATGTTGTTCGAAAAACACATTATTTTTCATATATTTTACATTACAACACCTCTCTCCTTAGTCTGGCATGAACGGCTCGAATAGTTCCTGTATCAAATGAAAGCCCGCCTTCTGAAATGTTGTGATTGGTTAGCTGGGCCAGTGTGTGCTGTGATTGGCAGCACTCGGCGTCTGGTCAGGAAATGTCATGCCCCTTACCATAGCCTCCTGCTGCGAGCTTCAGTGTAAATATTGCGTCAAAATCAAATCAATTTGAGCGTGATTTAAACCCCGATGATTGTAAGCGCTCTAAGTTCGTCTGCCTTGGGAAAGCTAGCATGTCTCCGACATAGTGATAACACTTGTTGCCTTCTCTAGTGCAGCTCAACCAGGTCTCGTCCCATTCGTCGATATTTGTGATATCACAAATCCCGGAAAATATGCGTTGTAGTCCAAACGAGTCGTTCATTGTAGTTTTTGAAAAGTGATTTCTGTTAAATAAAATATCTCTTTTTGAATTGGACTTTGAGCTTTGTAACTTTGCAGATCTTTTTTATGCTCAAACAGCAACATTACAGACTAACTAAAGTTGAAAAAGTGAAAAAGCATAATAGGACCACTTTAATATTATCATAGCAAATGCTATCATTGTATACACATTTAAAATATAATACATTAAATATATACTCCTAATTTATTTACATGATGCCATTTACTATTACTATAATATTAACATTTATTATTATTATTATTATTATAGCTATAGATTCACACACACACATAAGTGTATACGAATATTCCATTAACATAATATTAATATTCTATTATTATTAATTGCATAAAATGTATGCTGCTGCTGCTACTACTACTACTGATAGCAGTAGTAGTAGTAGTGACTACTGATGATAATAAATATTACACATATAAAATTTAATTATAACACTTTCAGAAGAGCAGAGCAAAAATATTGCTGACTCATCTTGCACTATGCATTACATCCAATCCAACACACCAAACTGACTAGAAATAGCAACTTGCACAGTTCATGAATGTGATGTTACTAAAGCCTACATTAACACAGGAAAGAACATTTGAGCTTGTCAAGCAATTTAACAAAGTCTAGAATAATTTAAACTGAATATACATATGACATGACTAGAAATGGTGACCTTAACTTGGTGGAAAGCTGGGCTACACGTACAAATCTAAGGCCAGGCTGATCTCATCTTTTTCATGGTAATATTGTTCTAAGTGGCTGCACTTCAAGCTGGGTCGGGAACAGGCTGGCGAATGTGATTAGTTTATTCGTCACTACAGAAATCCCGAATGCACACCCCTTCCATATGAAGGGAGCACAAAGGCCTGGACTTGTCAAGAGCGAGGGCCAAGAGCTGCTCTGGGTCTATCCCACATTCCACCCACAGATGAAATTCCAGCGAAAATTCAGGCAGAGTTTTGGTAGGTTTCAGAGCAAGCTCTCTGGGAGGCACTTAGTCAGGCATTGTGTTTTTAGAGAAGGCGGTTGTAGCTGCTGGGCTTTCATGCATGCAGCATAACAGACAGAGATAAGGGACAAATGCATTTTACACAAAGCTTGCCAAAGCAATGCCATTAAGAGAGGCAAATAGGTCTCAATGCATTCTGGGTCAAACACCCAATGGACCTCAAAATTGTATTAAAAACCAAGGGAAACAATTACTCCCCTGGCAGAACACCTGTTAGGATGGAGAGAGAGTCAGAAAATCTATGATACCATGCTAATGTGGTTACTGTTGTTCTTTATAACAATTCCAACCATTCAGCAACCACTAGTTTGACCAGAAAAGCAGTAGTCAAATACATTTGCATATGATTGACTTAAAAGACGCTGATAGCATCTGGAAGACTCTAAGACAATAAGGGGCAGTTGAGGCAATACACTGGACAGAAGGGTTATCTAATCTAACTCCCAATACAAGCGGTTGCTTGGTGACATGACCCTTATTATTGACTGACTACATCTTAAATTCTGGGCCTCTAAGCCCTACAGGGCTTCTTTCATTAGCTAAGCATGTTATCTCTCACTGTGTGAGCTTGCTGCAAGACTAGTAAATTTATCATGCACTTTATCAAGTACAGTGAGTGACAATCCTTTGACCTGGAGATATGGGTTCTCTCTCATTAAAGATTCAGTACAGGCCAATGATAGATTACAGTTCATCTTAAAAGCGTATGCTCCGCCTTTATACTCGATATCTAGCACACAAATGCATTATATTACTCAATGTGCAAACAAAAGTTTTTTTACTGCTTTATCACTATACATTTTAAAAAGCATGCAACACTTTATATCCGTTTCAACATGGTTGAAAGAGATGCAATGCTACTTAACCCTATAAAGCTTACTGTATCATATATGAATTTCTAAAGCCTCTAAATTATGAACATAATCAAAACTTTGCTGAAAAACCTGTTGCACACAATCTTAGCAAGTAAAAGACCTCTTAGCAAGTCCAAAAATATCCACCTTCAGGTCATGTTATTATGTATTTTTGTTGTGAAATCTTTAATGACTTTTGAGGTCAATTATAGCTTTTGTAATGTTGTTAGTAATATTTAAAGATGAACATTTACCGAACTTAAGCAACTTACAGTAGATTTACTTGATCATCCATGCATAATTTTTAGACAAATGTTAACATGTATTTATGAAATTTGATACAACAGGCTTTTGAGGAACGTTCATTTGCACCTCTTTCATTCATCATTGTATTGTATTGCATTATGTTTTGCCCCACAATAAAAACTACTGAGTTTTAATCATAAAACTAGTAAAAACTGATATTTATATGCATAATATGCAAGTAGTCTGATATACTGTTATAAAATTGTCATGTATTTACATTACAAGCCACCAAAATTCTATCTCTCTGTCCATATAAATAACATCTGCACCAAATTGCATAGTTTTGCTCAGTTTGGGTTTCTGAGGTATTTTTCTTTCACAAGTGTGAGCTCCATAGTGACTATGTTTACATGGACATCAGTAATCTAATTATTTACCTTATTCTAAATAAGCCAATATTATGATTATGGTGTTTACATGAGTGGATTTTAGAATATTCCTTCATGTTCTCTTTTTACATGTTATAGTACATAGTTCGATTAATGGCACACGTCATTACGCCCCCACGTGACGCCCTCCAACATCCCCTCCGGAATTTCACGTATAAACATTTGTCTCCTTGATGCTGCCATGTACAGTTTTGGGTGTTTCATTTTTAATTTTATGAAAGCTTCAAGTGCAGTTAATTATTTGTATGTGCATACAGACGATGGCGGTGTTGAAGCTCTTTTAATTTGCCGTCAAACGGTTGAACAATCACTGCCGTGTGTGTATCCTGTCGCAAAATGCTGCGAAAAGTCCTACTCGACGGTAATAATGTGATTAAGGTGTTTACATGTCTATTCTGCACTTCAGTAATGCGACTAAAATAGGAATACTCCACATGTCTTAACGATTTCTGTTTACTTCGAATATGACTTTAGCCGGAGTAAGGTAATCAAAAATCTCTGTTAACATGGTAGATTCTTAATCAGAGTATTGTCTTAATCGTATTAAAATCGGTGAATTGTTGTCCATGTAAACGTACTGACTGTCACTATATGAGCCTGATGCATCCAATGTGATACAACACATACACATATACAAAATTGTTAACAAAGGGTTAAATAAATGGTTTAATTAAAAAAAAAAGACCTTTACGACTATTATTTCACATGTCGGCTTTACAGGGTTAAAAGCACCAGATGAAACATTCAGCTGGTTAGAGCAGCAAAGAAACACCTCAAATGTCCCCAATGGACACCGAGTAACAAGTTGCAAGAGGGCTGTCCAAGAGAATCCCAACAAATTCAAACATCGTGCGTGCGTGTGTGTGTGTGTGTGTGTGTGTGTGTGTGTGTGTGAGAGAGAGAGAGGTGGAGAGTGACACATTTTCAGCCTGAAAAGACTGCCAGCATGTGGCCCAAAGGGACAACAAAACATATTTTGTGTTGCCAACACCGCAGTATGACAGCGACAACAGACAATTAGGGGAAATAACGCTGTCTCTTGTCAAACCCTGACACTTGGGGACTTTGAGTAAATAAATCAAGACCCCGAACAAGCACAAGAATAATTGAGTATGGACAGAAATCGAGCCTCGTCCTTGTGAGCTGCCTAACTAGTAGGGGTGAGAACCAAGAACCGGTTCAATTAATAAAAATACAGGAACTGGAAGATTTTCAAGAGGTTCGGTTGCGTTGAGGGTTCACGAATGTGTATTAAGTACACTGAATCTACATCACGAAACATACAGTAGCCTAATCCGATCGCCCAGAGAATGACTCTGATGATCCGGTTCTTTTTAGTGAATCAAAAGCACGTATGAATCAGTCTGAATGACTGCTGAATTAACCAGATTCGCTAATTACTTTCGCCATGTCCGACTCGAAAACAAGCAAGTTATGCTGCACTTATAGCACCTGAAACTTGTGGTTAGTGACAAGTTAGTATGATAACTAGACACATTATGATTTTTGTTGCGGTGTTCTATAAAACAAACAAATTAATGAAATGTGTTATCATTCATTTAAAAGTAATTTGATAATAGAGCAATGAAAGCACCATTAATTATATTTTCTTTCTTCGAATATTTCTTTAAAAGCACTAAATCTACATAGCAATCTATACTAGTAAATCGGAACCAGAACTGTTCGATTCATTCTGCAGTTCGCATTTCTGAGCATCACTTTGCGCATTCCGAACGTTCGAATAGTTAGATGCTCCGAACAGATTCGAATGAACGTTCGGAACGCGCGACTGATTCTCTAGGCAGGCAGCTCGCTAGGGTTTTGACACACAGCCAGAATGTTTTGTTCTTTACCTGTGACAGCTGCCTCGGGTCGGGGGCTCCGAATAAAGAGGAACTGGAGCTGAAACTAATGGCTCCCCTCCGGCTGAGAACATGTTTGGGAACCGGCCTGTCTAGAGGCAAAACCGGTAACTGATAACATAATGCCATTGAATAATATCAACGGATCAAAAATAATTCAAACCCGCCGGAAAAAAAAAAAAAGTAGTAAAACAATCAAAGGAATCAAAAGAAGGCGGAGAGGAGAACTTGCATGGAACTTGAGCGCTGTTTGCAACTCTCAGAAAGCACGGGAATCCCCTCTCCTTTAAATTGGAAATACAAAATATCAGTTTAAATGCTCAAGAGGCGAAGTGCTTCATTTTGTTTGGATCGATCTGGTTGTCGCGCACACCGCCGTCATTATTGATATGGTCCATATTTCCCCACGCGCGTGTCTCGTGCTCCATTTCACTCGATTTGTATTCATCAGGCTCGTTTTTTCTTCCTTTCTTCTCCCTTTTCTCATGCACAGATCACGGCCTGCGGGACGACGAGGCCTCTCCTCTATCTTTTTAGTATCTTTAGAAAAAAATGCTTCCTCATTTTTTAAACTCCGTCCAGTCGTGAATCATCATCATCGTGCAAATGGCTCCGCAGTCTTGTCTCCCAAATTAAAACAAAAGGCATGACCACTTCAAACCCCGATGGCGAGGAAAACAGAGAGATCCTGCGAATATCTAAATCAATGTACGTGAACTTGTATCCGTTTAACGACGGATTTCATTCAAGCTCTGCGCTGCATGAACATTTTTTTCTCAATGCAGACTCACTCAATGCAGCACTGTAGCCTATATTAACCAGAAGAAAGTGGCCTTGGTGGAATAAAAACACGCCCCGCGAACAAGCCGTGCGTGTGTTGGCACATGCTGTTCGGTCAGTTTCAAAAAGAAAACGCGAAACTTGAAATAAATTACGCTTATTACATACGACAGTCTCAGTTAGTCCTGAACATTGCAAGCTGTTTCCGAACATGCACCACCTGCGAAAGAGATGGGGTTGTACAGAAAGCGTTCGCAAACCGTCCTCGTCTCTTTGAGCCAATAGGCGTGCAGCAGTTTATGTAACGCCCGTTCCCATTGGACTACATCATGCAGCGAATTTGAGACGGCGAATCTCATTGGCGATGCTTTCAAGACTGATTTTTGCACTCGTTCACTGACTGTACGGACCTCAACAAGGGTATTCCACTACAACGGGGTTTGCCCTGCAGCCGGTCTGTCTACATCATTGCCAGTGATTACCTTTTCTCGGCATGAGTCATCCAGTTATTCGTGAGCAATGAGCCACTGTTAATTTCTCTTAATAATAAAACCCATGAGTGAACGTTTTTTTTTCTTTTTGAAAAAGAACATTTCACTAGTCATAGTTTTTTTCCTTTCTCATTTTAAGGACCCTGCTGAAAAACACATCTTCATCCATCTTAAGTAGCTTTCATAGCCTGATCAATGATTGCCCAGACCAACCTAAACCCCTTCTAAAACCATGCTGAGAGACCATCTAAGACCACCAGACCATCACATGCTGGATTAAGCTGATATTTTTTTTAGCAGGGTAAAGAAACCTGGCAATCAAATGGAATGGCTATATAATCCAGTGAACTAAATGTCATTTTCATGTTACTGTAGCATGTAATGGCGTGATTTACATTTACACATTTAGTTGATGCTTTTATACAAAGAGACTTACAAAAGAGGAACAGAAGCAATTTGTCAGAAAGCCAACAATATTTGTAATATAAAATGCCAGGCTTATTTGACATCTAGATTAATAAGCAAGCAGAGGAGAAATGCTCAAAAGAAAATATATTTTTATATTTTTTATATTACACATGAATTAATTTCTTTCTTCCAGATTTGCCTTTAGAGTGTTTGTTTGCTTCAGACATAAGCGTACCACAGAGAACGTTGTAAGTTTAAACAATAAGCATGTTGTCAGGCATTACCAGATAATTGTATAACAACACATAGTCATAATAGCAGTCTCATATCACACTGTGTGCTGAGGTACAATTTGCATGGTAACGCACTTCACAAAGTCATAATCATGAACTAAGGTTTATGGTCTGTTACAGTTTCAACAAAAAATATTAAGGTGAAAAAAATATACACTTATGTTTACTAACTGAAATTCATCCTCAAGGTAACTGTGTGAGCCAAAAAGTATAGACTCTTAAAAATAAAGGTTCTTTATTAGCATCTATGGTTCCATAAATAACCTTTAACAATACACTCTTAAAAATATAGGTTCCTAAAGGGAGTTTTCACATCAAGAACCATTTTTTGGGTTCACCAAAGAACTTTTCAGTGAACAGTTCTTAACAGAACCATTTATTTCTTAGTGCGAACAGCATTTTTATAATTGAAAGAACCTTTTTTCCACTATAAAGAACCATTTGTGCAATGGAAAGGTTCCGTGGATGTTAAAGGTTCTTCATGGAACCATCAATCCCAATAAATAACCTTTATTTTTAATAGTGTAGAACCTTTTTATTGCACAAAAGTGGAAAATATTCTTCAGGTTTTTAAAATGTTATTCAAACTAAGAAAAGAAGGGTTATTCTAAGAACTGTTCACTGAAAGGTTTATTGAGGAACCAAAATTCATCTATGGCATCACTGCGAAAACCCCTTTTGGAACCTTTTTTTTAAAAGTGTAGAGTCATTTTCTTCCTATTATCCTTTCTTTTGCAATTGCACAGCATTTACATAAGCAGACATTTAGCTAGAAGCAAAATAATCAAGTTTAACCCACTCTTTTGGGTCATTTAGGTTGACCCAAAATTTAGGTTGTAAAGCTTTGCAATGTTAGCAAATGTTTTAACTTCAGTTGCTGGAGACCAGGGGACAATAGTGAACAGTACCATGGCAACAGAGGCCATACGCCAGTAGTGCTCCGTCCCACCCCCTCCCCACTGCTCACAATACAATTCTGCACAACCAAACCCCACACCATGCAGTCCTAAATCGTTTCTAGGCATCCTGAATATATACTGCCAAATCACACAGATTACTAGAGTGCTTTACCCCAGTGTACACCAGAACTTCTTGGAAATATTATACAAAATCTTGACTCTTAATATATTACTGGTTGTAGTGTGACTTATACTTTTTGTTTAAACACTGGGACTAAACAGAGAAAGCAAACACAACACACTTAACAAGACAAGTCATCTGGAGTCATGCCTATATCTGCCTGTGTAGTTATTAACGGATTTGTTCATTCATTTACTTTTACAGTACTGCTTAATCAGTGTCAAGGACCGCTTCCCGTCCACAACCGGAGGCCCCGTGTGCTGCTCATTTGGGAGTCTCACATTTCCTGACTGAGGGGCGATCATTTCATTAATGGTTTGTTTCTGAGGCTTAGTTTGCCACAAATGCCGTTCCCCAGGCAGACGGGCTTTGCAGGAACAGCCTCCTGAGGAGACAATTATGAGGGGTGGCGAGCAGCACACCTGCTAATTCCCCTTGAGACTCCATGTATCCACTTGCAATGCGACCCTGTGCTATGCAGCAGTCATGAGGAAACTAAATACAAGGGGAGCTCTGGCATAATTGATACTGCTGGTTGACGTCAACTGGCCCACTGGTAACTTCCCTGTTGTTTTGACTGCTGCATGTGGTTTTGTAAAAAAAAAAAAAAAGATTTACTGTTACAGTTTAGTCTTTTTTCCCCATACAATTTCTATGCATAATTTAAACAGATGTAGAAATGTGAAATCTTTTTGCATTTGAGTGACATTTTAAAAATGACAAGTGAAAAGAGTGTAATAGATTAAAAAAACTATCTATACAAGTATGCAAGTTTTTCCATTAACTCCTGGTAGAATAAAATTTGTGCTCGGTTGCCATCTTGTGGTGATAGAAGATAAATGCTATTTTTTTTGGTTGTCGTTGTTGTTGTTTGTTTGTTTGTTTAAAATGACAAGTGAAAAGAGTGTAATAGATTTAAAAAAACTATCTATACAAGTATGCAAGTTTTTCCATTAACTCCTGGTAGAATAAAATTTGTGCTCGGTTGCCATCTTGTGGTGATTTTTTGGTTGTCGTTGTTGTTGTTTGTTTGTTTGTTTGTTTGGCTTTAGAACAAGAGTTTTCAAACTGGGGTCCAGAGAAAAGTCTAGACAAAAACGAAATTACTTATTTACTTATTTATTGAAAAATAATATAAATTATAATATATAATATAAATATATAAATAAATAAATAATACATCTAACATTACTACTGAGTAGGAAAAAAGTATATATTTTCCTAATTTATTTTACACAAATTTATGATATTTTTTACAGCATAAATTATTTAAATATGAAAATATATAGCTGCCTTTTAAAATTTGCACAAGGATGATGATATTTAGGGGTCCGCCGTGGCATCTAAAGATTGAAAACCCCAGTCTTAGAACATACTATATTTGTGAGAAAAAAAACAAACAAAAATGTGTGGATAAAATTATGTAGCTCAGAAAATAAATTATGTTTGACACCATCTTTGGTTTGGTCAGATTTTCATCATACAATTTACATTACTATAGTACCCCTTTAGAGTTACAAAATAATAAATGTTAAATTCTAACTTTAGTATAGAACAAGAGTTTTCAAACTGGGGTCCAGAGAAAAGTCTAGACAAAAACGAAATTACTTATTTACTTATTTATTGAAAAATAATATAAATTATAATATATAATATAAATATATAAATAAATAAATAATACATCTAACATTACTACTGAGTAGGAAAAAAGTATATATTTTCCTAATTTATTTTACACAAATTTATGATATTTTTTACAGCATAAATTATTTAAATATGAAAATATATAGCTGCCTTTTAAAATTTGCACAAGGATGATGATATTTAGGGGTCCGCCGTGGCATCTAAAGATTGAAAACCCCAGTCTTAGAACATACTATATTTGTGAGAAAAAAACAAAACAAATATGTGTGGATAAAATTATGTAGCTCAGAAAATAAATTATGTTTGACACCATCTTTGGTTTGGTCAGATTTTCATCATACAATTTACATTACTATAGTACCCCTTTAGAGTTACAAAATAATAAATGTTAAATCCTAACTTTAGTCATTTCATACTATGTTATTTAAGTAGCATTCTAGTTTAATGCATTGACTAGTGTTCACATAAAATGTGATAAAGCATTGTGGTAAAGTATTGTGATAATGAATATAAAGAATGGGATAAAATTTTGTTTTTTAGTAAACAAACTGTTCAGTTTGTTCACAAATATTTTTAAATAATCAATCTTTATTTCCTTGCAATATACAGTAGCAAAATACGGATAACATCGTTCATTTTAGCATATTGGAATACATTGCTGAAATAGTTTATTGACAACAGAGCAAGCGCACATTCTGTGACGTGAGTTAATGTGGCTGTCACGCTGTTCATTCTAAACATTAATTTTTATTAATTAAGACCCAACTAATTATACGACTTTTATATTTTGCACTTTTTGCACAAGCAAAGTAGTTGCGTTGGATATGCATTTGGCACCAGTCAAGGCACCAGGCCCAGACGGTGTGACACCAGCCTGTCTGAAAACCTGCGCTGACCAGCTGGCCCCCATCTTTTCACAGATTTTCAATAGATCTCTGGAGTTGTGTGAAGTCCCTTCCTGCTTCAAACGCTCCACCATCATCCTCGTTCCAAAGAAACACAAGATAACAGGACTTAACGACTACAGACCTGTGGCACTAACGTCGGTCGTCATGAAGTCGTTCGAAAAACTGGTTCTGGCTTATCTGAAGGACATCACTGGACCCTTACTGGACCCCCTGCAGTTTGCTTACCGAGCAAACAGGTCCTTGGATGATGCAGTCAACATGGGACTGCACTTCATCCTGCAGCATCTGGACAAAACCGGGACTTGTGTGAAGATCCTGTTTGTGGACTTTAGTTCGGCCTTCAACACCATCATTCCAACACTCCTCCAGACCAAACTTACCCAGCTCTCTGTCCCTAGCTCTATCTGTCAGTGGATCACCAGCT